GACTGAGCCACCCAGGCGCCCTTGATGATTCTTTTTTACACGTGTTTACAAAAGTGGACCCAGACATTAGGCCTGGTTTTGAATCCCAACTGTGTGATTTCAGGCAAATCACTTAAGTAAGGACTTTGTGTCCCTTGTATGATGGGGGTAATCCACCCACCTGACACGGGGTAGGTTTGGGGACTGAATGAGATAATACTCTGTCTAATGCATTAGCCCAGTGCTTAGCACACTCAGGCCACCTGATAGCTGATGACTCTGTCATTTGAAGACAAAGAGAAGGAACTCGAATGTGTGCTTTGGTGCTCTGGTCATCTGATAACCTCTTTTCTGGTCATTAACTAAAACATGAAATGTTCTGAGGAAGCGGCTGTGGGGACTTTGAGAGGCACAATACCGGGAAAGCTGTGGAGAGTGGCCGTTACCCGTATGTCTGTTGGTGGCACCACCGTGGGGGAGGGGGAGGCCCCGGGGAGGTGAGCACAGAATCCTTGCTTGCCAGCTGCATTGGAAACTCTGGGTCCTTGAAAATAAGAAGGCTAAACTAGAGCTTTGGGGGCCTGGCTCCTCTCTTTCTAGCATGCTCCAGGGACATGTTGTAGGTCTCCCTGAACTTCCATACCAGTCATCTTCCATAGGTATGTACGGGAGGCTCTAATAATTCCTTATTTATTCACCTAATATTTCTATTTTCTAGCTGTTTTTAAGATAAAGTGTAGTTGCAAAAGTCAAGATTTTTGTGTCTTTCCTCTCTACATAGATTTGTGAAAGAAAAAAGGCCTACTATCTCTCCAAACTTCAATTTTCTGGGCCAACTCCTGGACTATGAGAAGAAGATTAAGAACCCGACTGGCGCATCAGGGCCAAAGAGCAAACTCAAGCTGCTGCACCTGGAGAAGCCAAACGAACCTGTCCCCATGGTCTCCGAGGGTGGACAGAAGAGCGCCATGTGCCTCGGTCCACCCTGGGCCAACTCTGCTACCTCAGAGGCGGCAGGGCAAGGGCCCGCGCCCCCGGCCAGCGCGCCCAGCATGCAGCCCTCGCTGGTGGAAGACGGGCCGCTGGTCCAGGCGCTCAGCGGGCTCCACCTGCCCTCGGGCAAGCTTGAAGACAGCAGTAAGCTCAAGCGCTCCTTCTCTCTGGACATCAAATCCGTCTCGTACTCAGCCAGCGTGGCGGCCTCCTTGCATGGTTTCTCCTCCTCAGAAGATGCTCTGGAATACTACAAACCTTCCACGACTCTGGAGGGGACCAGCAAGCTCTGCCAATTCTCCCCGGTTGAGGAAGTATCGGAGCAGAGCCCAGAAAGCAGCCCAGGTAAGGAGGAAGCCAGCCTCCCCAAGAAGCCTCAGCCGGCCAGGCCTTCCGATGGCCAGGGCAAGCGAGTGCACTCAGTTCGACCCGGCGTCGGCGGGACCGGCCCGCGGCCCCTCTGCTCGCCGCTGCACCGGAGTGGGAGCGTGGAGGACAACTGCCATCCCAGCTTCCTTCTTGGCCTGGCCACCAGCCAGCAACCCCTCGCCAAGTCTGCCGCCGGCCTGGGCCTCAAGGGCTGGCACTCGGATATCTTGGCTCCCCAGACCTCCGCCCCTTCCTTGCCCAACAGCTGGTATTTTGCCACGGAGCCCTCTCACTTCTACTCGGCCTCGGCCGTCTACGGGGGCAGCGCCAGCTACTCGGCCTACAGCTGCAGCCAGCTGCCCACCTGCAGCGACCAGGGCTACTCCGTGCGCAGGCGGCAGAAGCCAAGTGACCGAGCCGACTCCCGGCGGAGCTGGCATGAAGAGAGCCCCTTCGAAAAGCAGTTCAAACGCAGAAGCTGCCAGATGGAATTTGGTGAGAGCATCATGTCGGAGAACAGGTCGCGGGAAGAACTGGGCAAAGTGGGCAGCCAGTCCAGCTTTTCAGGCAGCATGGAAATCATTGAGGTCTCCTGAGAAGGAAGACACTTGGGACTTCTATGGACAATATTTCTCTTGTTCACAAAAAAAAAAAATATTCCCTGTAAATCTGAAATATATATATGTACATACATATATATTTTTGGAAAATGGAGCTATGGTGTAAAAGCAAAAGATGGATCAACACAGCTGTTCTCTCAACGTCTGCACTTGAGAGATCAGCTACTCTTTCTCAACAAGAGTGGAAGGGCAGATGCTAGATTTCCTCCTAGACAGATGAAAAATTGTACGCAGCGCATTGCACAGCCTCTCGTTTTTACTGAATCCAGTTTGATTTGGTGTTGGAGGACAAAATACCCTCCCGTTTCCGTGTTGTGCTACAAGAGATCTCGAGTACTAGTCTCTGTCCGGCCCCTTCCGTAGTGCACCTTAGCGCTGAGACTGAGCCAGCTCGTGGGTTGGGCGGGTAGACCCCATTAGGGACAGAACCTCATGGTAAACGCAAGAGAAACGATCCCATCCAAAGCGGATTCGCACCTCCAAGCTCACGTGGCAGCCGAGCACTGCGAGCCGCATTCTGCTGCACAGACCGTTAGGGGCCTTGCCAAGGTCAACTTCAGAGCAAACCCAGTACCTCAGACTGAAAGTCGGGGCTTTCACCACTACCAAGTCTGGTAGCCTGTCTTCTAGGCATTGTGAATAGGTAGGTAGCTAGTCACACTTTGCAGACCAATTCAGACCGTCTCTGCACAAATTTCCAGGTGGGCCTGGATGGAGGTAGTTAGTTTTTTCTTCTCAGCTTGATGAAGAGAAGGGAAACCATCTAGGAGTCAACTGAACGGCCAGAGATCTGGCCACATGATGATTTAAGGTAGGTCAGGAGGCTAAACAAGTCTGTCTACCTCCCTGCATGTAAATCAAAGAATTGTTCCAAATGGGCTTGTTAATCCTTTAAATAAAGATGAACTTGGTTGAAGCCAGATGTGAATTTATTTGGGTTGGTAGCAGAACAGCAGTACCTTCAAGTTCTCAGCCAAAGTAGATTTTTTTTCCATTTCGGTTTCTTTGCACAGATACATTCTGTAAAAACCTAACAGGTAGACTTTTCAAGGAAACTACCAAGAGGGAGAAAAGCTCTGGAAAGAGTAAAGAATTAAAATCGTTAAGAAGGAGAGGCAGGAAACTCCTTTTTCTCAATGGTTTTGTTCCCCTGAGCATGTGATGAGGGAGGTAGTTCTGTAATTTCCTCAGACTTTCCGATTTACTAATAGGGCTGAGAAGCTAGTTCCGTGAGGAGGGTTCAGAATACAACCTCATAGGCAGGTGAGGGGAAGGGGGCAGCATTTTGTTCCGTGTGAGCAGAGTGGAAAGCCACAGCCAAGCTGTTCTCAGAAACTATCCCCGGCATTTCTTTTAGTAGAAGGGACATATCAAAATGGAGCGGGACCAAGGTGGCCTCTCAGTCTTTGACCTACAATCACTGTATGGAATCAGTCCTGGCAGCTGAAAATAGGAGTCGATTGGAACAAGTACACAAGTGATTAGTACATATCTGCTTTTGAACTTCCTGGCTTGAGTCTTGTCAGCTACAGTATGGTCCTCTTTTGAAGCCTTAATTCACGTCAGCAGCTTTTTTTGTGTGTGTGGGGGGGGTGATGTCATTGTTCTTTACTGTAAGTGTAGCCAGTTGCTGACTCATATCTCAGGTTTTTCTGTGTTCGAGAAATGGATAGTCCTTCGACTAGGATGTGACTTCATGTTTCCTATGATGACTGCTGAAACCAGCACAGAACGAATGACATGATTCAGAACACACTTGCTCGTGATGATTCTGAGCGTCACATAACATAACTGCTTGTACACAAATAACGTGCTGTGAGCCGGGTGTAAAAGGCAGGCGGGAAGAGAGGACACTGCATAGGGAGCTCAGTGTTACTGTGTGGGAAAAGTTCTATTCAATGAGCTGAGGTAGTTTTTCTACATACATTTAACTTGGGGATGTAATCAGACATTTCAAGGTGTCACGGAGTCATTTTTGAGGTGTTACGTATACACCAAGCGTGGAAGAGCTCACTCCTTCCAGAGTCTGGTCACAACCGTGGAACATTTTTAGGAAGGGAAAGCAAGAGCTCCAGTGTTAAGTATGTCCCAGGCTCCTGGCCATGGTCCCCTTCCCCCCGTGACTGTGAGGTAGTCTTGCCCTACAGCCGTCATCCTGGATTGCGCATGTCAGGTACGCGGTTCCCGGGGCCCAGACTGCCGCCGCGTGGGCGGGCAGGCTGCTCTCTCCACGGAGGCGTAGGGGACGCCCTGGGGTCTGTCAGCGTGACACTGAACGGGGATTTCTAAAGAGCAAAACTAGACTTCCGTGTGAGAAAGGCTGGACAATGGTTTAGGACATTTGTAAAGGGAGGTGGAAAGACTGTATAAATGTTTATTATGAATATAGTGTTCTTTTGGAGTAAGATGCTGTTGAATGGTTAAATTGTGCATTTCTCATTTTGATGTTCATGTATGTTAATATGAAATAAAATCAAAACTGGTACCTGTTTATACATAAATGAGAAAGGACCTCTCCTTGCGAACTGGTTGGCGGGAAGAGCAACATCCGAGTTGCACAAGGAGGCCGCGGTGGAACCCGTCCCACTGTTCCCGTGTCGAAGGGATCTTAGCTCAAAATAAAGTGCTGAGGGCATGAGACACGGTATGTGCGCCATTAGCCCACGAAACAACGGCGCCTTGGCTAACAGTGCCCGGCTGGCCTCCGTTCTTTAGCGCGTATCCCAGATGCACACTACAGTGGAGAACCCCAGACACGGTAAATATCTGCTGGCTGACTGAATCGAGAATGAGTATAGGGTAGGAAGAAGAGAGGCCAGATGCACAGTCATGGCACATTCTAATGGAATATGAATGTGGTTTTATAATTCTTGTAGGAAAAATGGGGACTAGGCCTAGATCTGTTCTCCATCCTTGCCATGTACATCTTCATGACCCCTCTGCTTATATATGACACTAGGAGCTTAGTCTCATCAGTCTGTCAGAGAGTTCTGTGCATCAAAGGAATAAGCATTTACCTCCATAAATATGCTTCATAATAAAGCATATTACCCTGGAATAATGATGAGAATCACAGGTGACGTCATTTAAGTTGGTTGGGACAGGCTTCCGAGTTGAAGTTAAATTTAAGAAAATTTAAAAGCAAGAAGGATGGTACTGGGTGAGCCAAGACTAGAAGAGCTGCCTTGGCCAGGACCTTGCAAAGAACCGGAGGCGGGCAAGGGACACAAGAGGAAAGGGAGTGTCGAATACGTCTGACTCCAGAGACGGAAGGCGGCATGTGCGAGCAGGTGTTCAGTGAGAGGCTTCAGATGAGGAGGTGCAGATCTTGGGAAGGTCAAGCCACTTACGACTTAAGTGCACAGATTTGGGGACCTCTTAGAGACCAGTAAGAGCAGGCTAGTGCTGGAGGACTAGTTTGGGTCTGACAATGAAAATTAGAGCAGGGCTCAGGCTAAGGGGAAACAAGGAAGGTAGAGATGGCAAGGGAAGGGTGTACATACTGGGACTAGGTGACAAACTTCACCTAAAAGCTGTCCCTGTTATTTTAAATACTGTCTGGTTTTGTTTTCTGACACCACGCAGAAATGTTTTAGATCCAGTAACATTTGTCTAGGTGCTTTTCTCTGAATATTACTTTCCTGCATCTATAAATAGAAGAGGGAAGTGAGTTATTTCTAGCATTCCGTGGGGCCCATTCATCCTTGTACAGCGTAATTATACTCGGTTATATCTTTAAAGTATTGTGAAATCAACTGGAAAATGACATCACTGTCTTGGAAGATGTTTACAAGTCAGTCCCATTGTTGCAGTTTATGTGCACCGGCATCAAATGGGGTTTATGTAAAAACCAGTTTCATTCCTTTGGTTCTAGCTAAAACAGTAAAGCCCGTGGAACCGCTGTCGCACGGGAGATGCAGGCTGTGACCTCGCGGGAGCAGTGTCCCAGGCCAACAGGGTGGCTTGCAGAGGGTGAGTGCAGCCGTGCTCTGGGTTCTCTCTGCTCAAGGGAATTGCGACAGTTTCAAAGGCTGAAATTAAAGTACTTGGTTCACCAAAGCTTTGAGCGTGAATCCCGCTCACTGTACATAATAAAAATAAAGGGTCGCAGTAAGAAGATGCCTTGACTGGTGAAGAAAATGGGAGTCCTTAGTAAATTCCATCAGGCTTTATATCGACACGGATAATGCACAAATTTCTAACAGTGATGGACACGCATCAGCGCACCACAGGAGATGCTGGTTAGACTGGGAAGCAACTAGGTAGAGTTGCCAAGAATTTTAATTTTTTTGGTTTGAGGCATGTGAATAAATAAGTTATCTGGTCACCCTTCCCCTCTGGAATCGGGCCATTTGAAAGGAAGCGACACGCCTTGTGTGTGTGCAAGAAATTCAGTGTTCCTTACTGTACGTTAGTCAACAGCAGTGACCTCTCCCCTGGGGCGCTACGCAGCTCTTAACTGAGGAATGAGAGGGCAGGGGAAAGAAGAGCAAATTATTTCTCTTGGCATGAAGAACAATTTACACCTACGACATCCCCAAGAGGAAAAACTGTCACTTCACTCTACCCTTCGATCTTTAATAGCAACATTTTAAGTAGTTTCCTACTGAGTACTGTATGTCTGGGTTTAAGCTGAGGTATAAACAAATTGGGAAGACAAAATTTCACTCACCCTAGAATCTTAATCCATGTTTGCTCCCAGCTTCCATTGCTGCAGATTCCTGGTTTTGCCTTGGGACTTGGTAAGGGAAATGCCAAAGCTAAGTAAGTTCCACAACTCCACAGAAGCAGGGGCACATGTCAGTCCCCCAGGGCCATTAGTTTATGTAACCTTGGAAACAGCACGTTTGGAATACCCATAATGTACCTTCTTCATATGTCGGCGGAAAGAGCAAAGAAATACCCAGAGGAGATTTTAACGAACGAAAAGCCCCCCACCTCATTCCTTGAGTGCACTCCTGTATCTCAGGCTATGGAGTCCTCAGAATTCACTTCTTCAAATACTCTGCGGAGAATATAAATTACATTCCTAAGAAGGACAGAACATTAAGGGCAACAAAGACATGACATCTGTCAAATTACATAGGCTCTCATGGAATCTACACTCTCACTGGCTCTTAACCCCACAATTCAGTCCCTGTAAACTGACGTGCACACATGACAGGGGGTGAAGGCCCGCTTCCACCAACATCCACTTTGAGTCAAACAAGGACACTGCGGTTATAGGGGCCTGTTTGACAGTGTCCGTAATACAGATGCATAGGGCAACAGATTAGCAAAACGGGTGCCCAAAAGAAGGGAGCCACTGGACACTTTCTAATTTCTACTTAACAAAAAGAAGGAAACAAGCTCTGTTGGGAGCTCGGAACTTAAAGTCACTTCCAAAACGCAGGGCCACTGCTCAGAGACGACAGGTAAAGGTGTTGCCAGAGTCACAGAAGTGGAATCCTGGAGCCGGAAGGGGCCCGAGAGCCCATCCAGACCAGCTCACACACAGGGAGGTGGAAACAGGCTCAGGGAAATGAAGGCATCTGCCAAAGGTCAAGGCTGGAAATCTACAGCCAGGGCCCCCTACAACGCCAGCCTGCCTCTTTGTCCCCGAAGCTCCTAGAGGGTCCAGATAGGTCACCAGGCATTAAGCAACAGAGATTCAGCAGAATGAGCTCTTCAAATAGCACATCACTCAGATTCCCAGAATCTGCCAGAAAATGTAAAAATCTGAGGCCGGAAAGGGCTGGTAGTGCCATGTTACCAGCCAGGGTTCAGTCGGAGCAGAAGCACCAGGAATGACACAGAATCGGGGACGGGGGCGTTGAAGGACTGACTTCGAGCACTTCATTACAGGTGCTGCTAAGAGAGCCCCAGTCGAGCTGTTCCTGGCGCACGTGAAGTCACCGGGCAGGCGGTCGGGAAAGAAGGGATGGCCGGGACGGCTGGAGCCCGCGAGCAACCCGCCGGAACCGGTGTCCGCCTCTCGCCAAGACCCACGCTGGCCTGCCCTCTTCTCGAAGCTGCGGCCTCCTGCCGCAGAGGGCCTACAGGAGAAGCTCGATTCGTACCTGGCCCGCGATTTGGAAGAGCCGAAGGCAGGGTTCTGTGGGAGCCAGGGGAGCCGTGAGGCCGGCAGCCGTCCGCGAACGCGAGCCTGAGATGCAGCAGGGCCTGACGTCGGCGACCTCCAGTGACGGAGCAAAGCTGCAGCTTTCTGTCCACTTCCAAACCTCACGCAGATGGCTCTCGTGGCCAGGCCTAACCAGAAACGAACAGGGAAGGGGACTGCAGCAAACAGTCCAGCTCAGCCAAGTTGACGATGTTGCAAAACCACCCCCCACGCCATAACGCACTAGAATTCTTTAAAAAAAATATTGAATTTGCCTATTGTTCTTCTCTGCTTCTACCCAGTAATGAGCAGCCTTGCTACTTAGGACCCAAACGTAAGTTATTCTAACTTTTTTTAAAATTTTTTTTACATTACATCATTAGTTTTTGGTGTAGTGTTCCATGATTCATTGTTTGCGTACAACACCCAGTGCTCCATGCAGAACGTGCCCTCTTTAATACCCATCACCAGGCTAACCCATCCCCCCACCCCCCTCCCCTCCAGAACTCATATTTTTTCCAGTAAGCTCTACACACAACATGGGGCCTGAGCTCAAGAGTTGCATGCTGTACTGACCGGGCCAGCCAGGTGCCCGTCTAACTTCTTTGTAAGCAGAAGAGTTGGCTTTTGAGTTGGGTGGCGAGCTGGCTGGCTGGCTGAGAATGTTCTCATGCCCTGGTCAGTCCGCCTTCCTGCCATGCTCACACCATGAACTGCTAAAGCACAGTGAGCAAGCTCCGTCCTCAGTAGGCTTGGTCTGCGTCTCATTTTATTTGTTCTGCGCTTTAGTTGGTAAATTATACTAAGTGCAGTGATGGTACGCACCTGATCCCTGAGCTGTTTTTGTAGCTCTTCGTTCTCTGAAAGCTGCAAGCAGAGCTGGGTCTGCACACTCCAGGAACTCAGAAAAAGACAACGAGGGTGATGGCTTAAAAAAGCCACTTCCTGTCAGTCTTGGCAAAGAGAATAGAAGTATTCCTTGTATTATGTTTTCAAAACATAATTTCTGCCGGTTTGAAATTAAAAAAAAAAAAGGAAAACAGTAACGAGCACAGGTGGCACCTAGGCTAGCTAAAGCCGATCTTAAAACGTATTGTGAAATGATATCAAAACAGTAGAGAAAAATGAAGAACTGCATGAAACAGTGGGGAGAAAGACGAGTGGATGAGAATATAGTTCAGAACTAGCTCCTCAATCATATGGAAATGTGAAGCACGACGGAAGGGGTTCTGCGCGTCAGCAGAGGGAAGACGCGTCATTCAATAAACGTGGCTACCCTCCCCTCCGTGACATTTGCTAAAATAACCTTAGCTATTAATAGGTTTCTAAGAAACAAAACATCTTTCTGGATTTGTACCCGTGAATAAATTGCTCTAGAAATGGTTTAAGACCCAGTAAAACCCTGACCATCAAAAGGCATTAGAAACACAGCCTTCTTTGACCAGCGTGGCCCAACAAAGGTTAAAGGGCGAGTTCCTCCCTCCCCAGCTCATGGCTTCCGAGCCCTCCATGACTCCCTCAGGCCACTTTATCGCCTCAGGCTGGACATCTCTAGCCCCCCTTCCTAATGGGGAAAGGAAAGCATCAGTCTCCAGGAAGGCAGAAACGCCATGTGAAGGTTGCCCCGACGGAGGGGGACGCTGCCTTAGCCTCTTCCCTGGGCTCTGGTGTCCATCTGGTCTTTCCAGCTCAGAGGGATGAACAATCTTGACATTTTTGGGTTGCTCCTTCGAAAATCCTAGAAGCTGTTTTTTTTTTTTTCCCGTGTCCGAATTAAAAATTTTTTTCCATTTAGCGTCGAATGCTCAGGTTTCTTCTGTCATCCAGTTGTTTTATGTCCTACGTTTTATCCTGGGTACGAAGAATCTTCCAAAATAGTATGTTTAAAATCTGAGATGAGAATCAGATCAAGTTTACCAGAGAGATGCTGAAGTAAGTGGATCAACTTTAAGGTTATAAATATACCAAAGGCTGTTTCTGACATCGAAAAAACACCTTCTGAAGTTTAGAGGATTTAATAAAGGGAGCGAGGTGAGCCCTGACAGGATGTCCTGGCCCCAGAGGCTTTCCCGTTGCCCCAGCTCCTGGTCGCAATGTGCCTGCCTTGATCTGTCCCTCCGTTCTGTTTCTCTGCGTCGTCAGTCTTCTCTTCCCTGGGGACAGTTCTGATGTGCACACTCCTGCACTAAGTACTTCTGTGGTTACTCAGGTGGCTTCCTGTCCTAAACTCCCAGCAGTTCAGCAGGAAACAAGGGCCGGGACCACAGAGCCCTGTTTGTAGTCGGGGCACAATGTTAGGCGCATCAAGTGGGTTCGATACACGCCCGCTGCAGGCATTTCAAAGGCTGCCTAACGCCGCAGGGTTGCCGGGCTAGTAAAATAAATGTGGTTAAAACCTTCTTACAGAAATTGGGAGTCTTGCCAGTGCTGATGTAATAAAAAAGAAACCTAAACCACATATGCATTAAGGAAACCAGTTATCAGTGGGAGATGAGCCCGATGAGGGTGTTCAAAGGAAGTCCTCAGTCTCCGAGGACGACATACGAGGGACACCATAACCCAGCACACAACAAAAACACCAGTGGTAAGCCCCGGCAGGAACAGGGTGCCCCAGATAAAGACCTGATGTGACGTCAACAGAGTAGGAACAGTAACAACACGGAGACTTAGATTAAATTAGTTCTTTATGTTTACAATTCATAATGTGGAAAGCCTACTGAGTAAAATTTCACGAAGGCATCGAGGACACAGAGCTTCTTAAAACATTTCTCCCCTTCTCTCTGTAGTTTCACTCTGCAAGCTAGACTTGACAATATACACTCTCGATTAAAAAAAAAAAAATCTAAACAAAATAAAAAGAATTCCCGACAGTTCTGTAATAAATTCCTAATAATTCAAATGCTCCAACTTCGGTTAGCACCGAGAATTAGTTTGGTTCGTTTTGCAAAGGGAAAAATGCATCAAGGAAAGGGGATAGGCGGGGCAGGATCAGATTTGCAGGCCAGCCGGGCCGCTTCACAGCCCTTCCGGGAGTCCCAGAGCCTCCAAACAGCTTCACGATCCAGTCACCTCCTGGGACTTTGGTTCCAAACGTCCTCAGGGCATTGGCGGTGCCAGGCTCTGCTCCCACAGAACAACAGCCTGGCCGGAGGGGAGAGGCAGCTCTAGAGCTTGAGCTCTCGCTCTGGTTTCATGCTGAAGGGCTCCAACCTTTCGCTCTCCGGCAGCATGCCGTTGAGCCGCTCCATCAGGGGCACAGTCTGGTCAATGCCCATCTGTATGCGGCGGAGGATGGCCGACATCTCGTTGACTTTCTGGATCTGCTCCGCGTATTTGGCATATCTTTTCTGGCGCTCTTGCATGAAGCTGAAGAGAGTTTCTACAGACAAATCCATCTGTAGAGGGAGGAAAGAAGGGAAATACATTAAACCTAGTTGAAGCAAGTCCTCTCCAGAGGACCAGGTGCCCAGCACGAGTCCCACGGGCCAAACGGAAGCTGACCGGCTCAGCGTTGTCAACTGCTGCCCCCCAGTCATCTTTGGAGGGGGACTCAGAGATGACTGCTTCTGGCTCTGTTTTGGGCATGTGGGCCACTTATACCTTGTTGAGACCCTCAGATTTTTTTCCCTCTCTCTCAAAGAATCCTGGGCTTGGAAATTAGACTAGCGTTTGAATGTGGCTCTGCCACCTGAGTTGATAATACTTACCTTTTTTTGCACATCTGCAAAAAACAGGGACCTAGGGGCGCCTGGGTGGCTCAGTCGGTGAAGCGTCTGCCTTCGGCTCAGGTCATGATCCGGGGTCCTGGGATCGAGCCCCGCATCGGGCTCCCTGCTCAGTGGGGAGTCTGCTTCCCCCTCTCCTGCTGCCGCTCCTCCTGCTCATGCTCGCTCTCTCTCACTCAAATAAATACAAATCTTAAAAAAAAAACCAAACAGGGGAACGGATTCCCCAACTGTGAGGATGGAGTGAGAGAACACACCCAGCACAGGACCTGGCATGGCTCAGAGGTGCTTCACATTTGTCACTCCTCCCTGTCTTCCTTGAATGGCTGCAGGGCGGTGGCCCCTTGGGGACAAGTGCAGGGAAAGGGCTGGCTTTCTCTGACAGCCAGGGCTCAAGTCCATACCGCGCACCCCACTGTTGTGAGGTAAACTGCTCAATGCACTCCCTCCCCCAGTTAAACAAATGTTAGGCTCTGTGCTCCCCTTTTGTGACTATGTTCTTCCCCTGGGGAAGTTTTTTGGAACCTGTCACCTGGATAAAAATAGGGGGCGGGAACGTCCAGCCTGTCAGGTGTCTATACCCGCCCCTCCTGTGTAGGGAAAAACACAAACTACCAAGACCCCAATTTCGACCCTTAAATTTGAGTTCAAATGCTACTTCAGCCCCTCGTTCTTATCCACTCTAGGAGCGCATATGCCCCTGTCCCAACCCCCAGCCTCATGCAGAGTGATGGCACCTAATACATGTTACCAGAGCCTCTGGAAATGGTGTGATAAAAACCAACCCACGGGGCACCCGGGCGGCTCAGTCAATTAAGCATCCACTCTTGGTTTCAGCTCAGGTCATGATCTCAAGGTCGTGAGATCAAACCCCACACTGGGCTCCGTGCTGGGCACGGAGCCCGCTTGAGATTCTTGCTCTTCCTCTCCCTCTGCCCCTCCTCCCCTCCAAACAAACAAACAAACAAAACACCGAACGAAACAAACAAACAGGAGGAGACCAAAGCCAGCCCCAAGAAAAAATAACTAGTTCTATTTTTATACTGTTTGTGGGGGGGCGGCCGGGTGTGGAGAGAAGGATGGCGAGTAAGGAAGGTGTCAGAAGAACTTCGTGCTTGTTTTTTCTATGTTGGTTCTTTCCTCACTTGTTTTGAAATGCTCAGGGGACAAAAAAACAGCTAGTGGGAGGAAGGGTGGGGAGGGAAACAGCCACCTTCCGATACTGTGGAAGCAATTTATACCTTCAGATGGTTCTCTGCAACCCTGTTCCGTCATTCAGCACTTTGAAGGTAGTGGGCTAGTAAATTATAGTGTTCCTGAGAGCCAAGCACTGGGCCTTTTCAGAATGGCAATTCAATCCAGCACCTAGAAACACTCCACCTTCCAACAGACAGTGGGTGACCTGGGAGCTTGCTGGAATCCTCATAAGAACCAGCAGAGCCCACTGAACCACCTGCTCCAGCATTCAGAACCATCTTGAGTTACCACATTTCACTTGGCAGGGCCATTCCCGTCCTCCCCACAGCCAACTCTACCAGACTAGACAAACACCTGTAAGTTTATCTGAAATGGCCTCCAAGACTCTAGCTTATCATGTCTTAGGGCCTGGCAATCAACCACTCCCCCGATTTATACTTGATCAGACAGCGGTATTTGTTCAAATGACATATACGCGCCCACACATCTCCACATCTGACAGGGGCCCATGTTTGATGTATCCAGAGCTTTTGCCCAAATCCACTTCATGTTTAGTGCCTGGGGGAGCACACATAATTCGAGCCTGCTGTTTACACACACTGACAGTACGTCTCTCAAGAGTCAGTTCCCTGACAGTCCATGGAGAAAAAAAAGCACAGAAGAGGAAACCTGAAGCTGAGTGACCTGTGAGGTCTCACAGCGACAGAACCAAAACTAGAAGCCAAACCTCCTCAGTCTAGCATCTTCCTTTCACCCGTATTCCCCGAGCAAGAGAGTGTACCATTAGATTCTAGTTGGTGCATGGCATTAAAGAACATTGAATTGCATGATGGAGAAGTTATTGCCTTTTAAACCTTTCCCCCTTCTTTCTGACTGCTGCCAGGAAAGTCTCGAGTTGGTGCAAGTAAGACTTTTTTCTTTTTTTTTAAAGATTTTATTTATTTATTTGACAGAGAGAGACAGTGAGAGAGGGAACACAAGCAGGGGGAGTGGGAGAGGGAGAAGCAGACTCCCCGCGGAGCAGGGAGCCCGATGCGGGGCTCGACCCCAGGACCCTGGGATCATGACCTGAGCCGAGGGCAGACGCTTAACGACTGAGCCACCCAGGCGCCCCAAGGTGCAAGTAAGACTTTAAAACCCGGGGAAGTGTAACAGAACTGGCGATGCCTATTTCTCACGTCCCTGCCCTTCGCTCTCTTGAGGCAACATGGCTGCTGCTCCCTGTTGCCTCCCTCCGTGTGTGTACAGACGTACTCCAGCACATCTGACCAGGCTTCAGGCAGTAAGACAGTATCCAATGCAATTCCGAATCTTACCATTTTGACAATCTGGAACATATCCTTATTTACCTTTCCTATTTCTATTTTTGGCACAGAGATTCTAATGAGGAAGCAGATATATAATATACACAGTCAACAGACCTATGCTGGTACTACGGTGTGCCATCCCGCACGCAAGGCCCTGGGGACACAGATACTGAGAACCACACTGTCTGTACCCCACACAGCTTACTGTGCACATTAACATGACTTCTGTTTTCCACTGTCTTTGCTAACGTTATCTTGACTCTTCCAGAAAACAGGCCCAGAAAGGGAAATGTTGCAAATAACTTTGTTTCAGAAAAACCATGTAAGTGAAAAAGCTATTAGATTTTCCAACAGACAGAGAATGACTGCTTATTTTCCCCAACCTTTGCCTCAAAACCCACACCTTGCTATCATCACATGACTAAGTTCTAGTCAGAGGTACGTATATGTGGCAGTCTCTCATGGCAGCTTCTGGGTATCTTCCTTAAAACTCAGCTGGCAGAGACCCTGCTCCTCCTTCTTCAGCCCTTCCCTCACTCTGCTCCTGCAGGAATGCAGATGCAGCCCCCTCAGACGACGAGAATAAGTAAGGTCACATCCTAGGGTTGGTAGAGCAGTGCACTAGAAGACTAGGTCTATGAGGACTTTTGTGGATGAGAGTAGTACCAGGCCTACGAGAGAAGAAATTTCCATTCTGTATAAGCCACTGTGATTTTGGACCTCTGTAACACCACTTGCCTTTAATCTTATACTGGTAGAAATGAATGAGATAAATGCCCTGCCCTCAAAGAACTCACTGTTTACTCTTAAATTCATACCTCAAATGTTGCCTCCTAGGACATGCATATACTGTCTCTGATGCCAGTACACTTCAAAGGACAAGTGAAAAAGAAGGTGAAATTATTTGTGGGTGTAACTACAGGCTTTACTAAGACATGAGTTATCTGTAGAATGTGCTCAAACTTGTTCCAAACACCTTATTTGGACAGTACAGCCTAATTGCTCATCTGGGCAGTCCACTGTCAGAAACATCCAAAATATTAGCAAATCAACCCAACAACGGTACATCATAACCAAGTGAGGTTTATCTCAAAGATGCAAGCCTTTTCATCCAAAAAACAAAGTAATTTGCCATTTCAACAGAATAAAGGTTAAAAATTATATAATCATTTTGGGTGCCTGGGTGGCTCAGTTGGTTAAGCAACTGCCTTCGGCTCAGGTCATGATCCTGGAGTCCCGGGATCAAGTCCCGCATTGGGCTCCCTGCTCAGCAGGGAGTCTGCTTCTCCCTCTGAGCCTCCTCCCTCTCATGCTGTCTCTCATTCTCTCTCTCTCAAATAAATAAATAAAATCTTTAAAAAAAAATTATATAATCATTTTAGTAGATGCAGAAAAAGCATTTGACAAATTCATTTATGAAAAGTTTTGAAAATCTGGAACAGAAGGAAACTTCCTCAACCTAATAAAGGGCATTTATGAAAAACCTACAGTGAATATTACAGTGGTAAAGGACACTTTTCTCTCTAATCAGGAACAAGGCAAGGATGTCCACTCTCATCACTTCTTTTCAACACTGTACTAGAAGTCTTAGCCAGTATAATAAATCAAAACAAGGAAATAAGGGAATAAAAGGCATAGGAACTAGAGAGGAATACATAAAAGGGTCTTCATCTGTAAATGACATGACAGTGTACTTAGAAAAATCTTAAGGAATCTACCAAAAACTAATAAAACTAACAAGTGAGTTTATCAGCAAGGTTGCAAGATAGATGGCCAATATACAAAAATTGATTGTATTTCTGTATACTTGCAATGAACAACTAGACAATATAATTTAAACACTATTTACAATTGCACCCAACAATTACTTAGGGAAAATTCAACAAAATATCTACAAGACCTGTACACTGATAATACAAAACTCTACCGTGAAAAATTAAAGGTGATCTCAAAAAATGGATAAGTATACCATGTTCATGGATTGGAAGATTCAATATCATTAAGATGTCAATTCTTTTTTTTTTTTTTTTTTAAG